TCTTTATTCAAAATGCCCCGTGCAGATGTTGTTTCCTGTTCTTGCAAGCTTTGCGATGCCAAGATGACCTCCTGCACCGCCCTGACCTCTGAAAATACTGCTGGTTGCTTCTCCAAGGATTGATATTCTGATTTTTCGCATGCGGACCTGCAAGTAGTCGTTACGTCTTCACATAGCACAACGCTTTGCACATGCTGCGAACCCTGCACATCGAAGGAAGCATGCATTACTCAACGCGCATGAAGAAATGACAAAGCGGAAGAGGAAGCTCAATTCTCACGAGTCCATCTCTCTAATTACATCGTTTACGACGTCCAAAGCAGCTGCCACCTCACAACTCGTTGCTTCTGATATGTCTGATGTTTCTTCACTAGCCTCTGATGAATCTATTACTACTCTCACTCTCTTTGTTGTCTGTTTTACTCGCTTCCTATTTGAACCTACCTCTATCTTGAATGACGTCAGAAGTTCTTGGATGGCCTTCCCCTGGATGCCTTTATCGGGATTAAGGGAACGACAGACCTTGACCAACACTTGCAAAGATGCCAAAGGATACAACGATCTTGAGCCGTTCAAGGGCGCCATACGGATTTGCTTTCGAATCTCTTTGTCTAATTTTTTTAACACCCCCTTGCACGTGTCTTTATTGCATTTCAGAGTGTCTATTATCAAGTCCGCAACACAAAGGAGGCTGGTACGCTGGTCAACCCTTATCCCCATCCCCAATTGCAGGGTTCCTTTTCAATTGGGAGAACAGTCGGTCGTCGAGCAAGTGCCAGGTGCGCATGTATGCTCAAATTCCAGCTCCCCTCCAACCTTCCCCTCACACGTTGAATCGTAGATATTACCGTTCGTCTGCAGGGTACTAGCCAAGACCACCATCCATCAGCCAGTTCTGTGCCCCTCACTTGCTATTATGGAGTTGGCTTGGCTAGACTTAGGACGTGGGATCATACGCCTCCTTAGAGAAGATAACTCTCGAGTGGCCAAATATACGCGGCGAATATGTCAAATTAACGCGTGTTTCAAGACCGTAGGTAAAAACTATTCCCTCATCGCAGGACGCAGGAGCACGAGCCGCCCTAAAGAAGATAAGGCTTGAGTGGCTAACGACCGAACTATGCCACGTTGGCAGGTGCCAGCTTGTCACGCATTGGTGCCAGGCTGGCAGGTGCCAAGTTGTCACGCATCGGATTGGTAGGTGCTAGATTGTCACTCATTGGATTAGAAGGAGCCAGGTTGGCAGGTGCAATAGACGCCCACGGTGCTACGCGGCAGATGTGTCAGATTAACGCGTGATTCACGACCGCACGATAGTAAACACAACCTCATCGCAGGACGTAGGGCAACGAGCTGGCCTAAACAAGATAAGGCTCGTTGGTACGCGGCGGAATGCCAGGTTGGCAGGTGCAATGGACGCCCATGGTGCTACCGTACGCGGCGAATGTGTCAA